TTGATCAATCCAGACATGTCTCAGATACGGATCCAGAACTGAATTCTTTAAAACAAAATGGCCGCCAGTCGGCTATTTCGAACTTGATCCGGAAAAAAAAATGACGTGCATCAAGGTCCTATTATGTTTAATGTATGTACCAAATTTGAACAAAATCCGTCCATGCATAACTGAGATCCGGGTCCGGAATGGTGAAAATGTGCGATTTTGATGCATTTTCGGCCTTAAAATGGCCGCTATTCGGCTATCGTTAATCGGATCATGAAAAAAATGCATGTGCATATGTCCCATATAATGTGTGATGTATGAGTAAAGTTTGAACTTAATCGGTCCATGCATGTTCGAGATACAGGTGATCACGGACGCACGGACGGACGGACGCACGCACACAGGGCAAAACATAAGTCCCCGTTTTCGGACTGCGTCCGAACGGGGACTAATAATTTGTTGGTGCGTTTAAAACTGTAACCATCTTTCGTTAACCAATGAAAATGCTCTGTCATACAGTCGAAGTTTTCCTATTATTGACGAAGTATTTTTTTCAACGCAATGCGGAAGTGTATTACTGCGATGTTAAAATGCGACCCATTAACACTGATTTCGACAAAAAACAGTGACTTTTTTCCCTAAAAGCTGTTGATTTGCAATTTTCGAAAAGTAAACTGAGGGTGAGGGAAGTATTTAAACCTTTCACAGCCGCCAACAAGTCAGCCAAAGAATAGTTTGCTCATTCACACCCCATTCACGATAGTCTCAATGGAAAAGTTTATTCGGAAAAGTAAAACGATGATCAGGTTTCACGACTTAACAATCACATTTTAGCCGTTCGTAAAACTACTACTCAAAAGAAATATGGATTATTTCAGTATTGCAACAATGGGGTTCATCCCGAGTAAATAACAGAATAGAAAACGTGCGAACTATGTACGTTCGCCCGCCGTGCCCGCGAGTTTACTCATAAAAGCTGGAACCAAACTACCGTACCAATCATGATTTTTATGTAATGAAATACACTTTTTACATGCATATTTTAATAAATGTCGTCGACGCCTGGTGAAACACCCTAGGCCTATACTCTGGGATGCCCTCAACTCATTAAATGTCCAAAACAGAGGGGTGGGCTTATACTCGGGAAGGGGCTTATACTCAGGGAAGTATGGTATATGGGCTCTGCGCGAGCCGCTGTGGAACTCCGGTCAAAGGGCTGGTGAAAATAGCTAAATTCAAAAAAACAACACAAACTCAACTTTGAAGTAATCCTTAACAACCAAATTTATATATGTTGCACACGCAGAAATATTCTTGTCACACTGTTCAGGGGAGTCTCAACAACCATCCCAAAGTACTGTTTCCTAAAAGTTTTCGGCCTTTGTTTTCACAGTGATGATTGCCAGGTGGTGAAAATGCCTGAATGTCTGCCCCCGAGAAACCACCATTGGGTTTCAAATTTATTCCCGTTCAATGAGACTTGATCACATATTGTCACTCCCATACTAGAAGATGTAAACAGGCTTAACACAACTTCCATGCTTACAAATACCTTCCAGTTCATTCCATGACAGAAATAGATTTAATTTCCAAATTGTTTATGTAAAGAAATGTGCAATATATTATAGAATTACCATGGTTAGACTCATCTATTTGATCCTCAATGTGCAAAGAAATACAATGCAATTATGATGGGAAAATGAGAAATAATTCATGTGAACACAATGTATGATAAATGGGCAATGTGAACATTGATAATTCACAAATCTGAGTAACATGTTGAAGGAAAGTCATACTGCACATGATATTATAGTGTTATTCTGACTTACAACAAGTCTCAGATGTATTGGTGCCGAAAGTTAGCAAACTTGCTCACTAATTTGAAAACTACTTTGGTTTTGACTAAAGTAGATGACCAATAATCAAGGGGTTTTCTAGAAAAAAAAGTGGGGGAGATAGGGTTCTCCCTACCAGGGTGTGGAGTTTTTGATAATTCTAAGATAAAATGGAGCATTCTATGGCTTCCTTGTGGCCAAAATTACTATCAGACAGTTGAAGACTATGGCAACATGTGATCCCTGGTCAATCAGAATGTTATAGTTGCCAGAGGATCTGCTCCCCAGAGTGAGGTAACCCATTGCCATGGCATGAGGGTGCTGCGTCCCTGTTGCCTTGCCCTTCATTCTGTCATCATCAATTCAACTCTTAAAAAACAATATTTTGTTCAAAATAAAATTATGAGGTTTTGAAGAACTGAAAGAGTATGCAAAATTGTTTGTGTTGGTCGAAACGGCTTTTGTCAAAATCAAAGTTGTCAGTAATTTAAGTTTCCTAACTTGCTGCTTTAATACTTCTGAGACTTGCTTACTTTGAGTTGTGCATTTCACTTACTTGAGTTGTGGTCTAAATTTCCATGTTGCTGTAAATCAGGTGCACTACTACTACCAGCGCTGCTACTACTAAAAAACCTACTGACTCTCTGTTGTAGTGAAGGAGCTGTGTTCTGATCGCTAGGTTGTGGCTTTGTTGGGGTCACAGAACCAGGCGTTGCTGCAGGGCTTGATTTACTAGGTGTCATTGAATTGGGAGTGTCGGGATTAGATCCACCTGCAAAACAACACATTCAATAGCATTAGACACAAAGTATTTTTACATTGTACATTTAGCATGATACATGTAAACTATTATTATACATCTGTCACCGTAACACCACGAGTTACAGCATGCCGTAATTTTGCAGTATTTTACAGGATGTTTTTCATTCTACCATATTAGGAAATGCAAATTCCAAATTTGGAATGATTACATGCGCAAGAATCTTCTACTAATAAAAACAGGCCATGCATGGCACAGTCCCGGCTAGTTATCAAATTTAAGATATATAGTTTTGTTTATAGTAATGTAGCTGGAACATAAACATGTCAGGAATATGATTATGATGATTGTTTAACATTAAAATGATTGACATTTGTATCTGATCGTCAAACGAGTATTGAGAGATATTGCTCTGGAATAGCATTAATTAAAACAAAATCATGAGTACATGTATAATGAATATATAAAATTTGAACATAATCAGTCAAAGCATGTCAGAGAAATGGCTCTAGAGGCCCATTCATTAAAACAAAATGGCCGCTAGTCAGCCATTCTGAATCCGATCTGAAAAATAAAATAACGTGCACCAGGAACCCATAATGTCTAATGTATGTACCAAGTTTGAACAAAATCCATCCATAAATATTTTTTTAGCACAAAAATGGCCACCATTCGGCCATTTTTAATAGCATCGTCAAACCAATATATATGTATATCTATGACATGATGTACAATAAATATTTAAAATTTGAACATAATCAGTCAAAGCAAGTCAGAGATATGGCACTAGAACCACATTCATTAAAACAAAATGGCCGCCAGTCGGCCATTTTGAATCTTATCTGAAAAACAAAACAAGCAGCTTGTCGGCTGAGATAGCTCCGCTGTTGGTAATGCACATTTCAATTAAAGAACTGAAGATATCATTAGAAAATGAACAATATGTAGACTTGCTGTTTTCAACAAGAATTCAAAAATATCACTTTTCACCAAAAATAACAAAAATAATTATCAAAATTAGATAATTGAAGATATCACCACGAAAGTAATAAATCTGAAAGGGGTCCACATGTAGTAAATATATATGTAATATCAAAGCAATCAGACTTGTGGTTTTTAACAAGAAGTCGAAAATATCACTTTTACCAAAAATTACAAAAATATTCCATAAAATTAGATAATTAAAGATATCATCACGCAATGAACACATCTGAGAGAGGTACACATGTAGTACTTATATATGTAATATCAAAGCAATTGGACTTGCTGTTTTCAACAAGTCGAAAATATCACTTTTTACCAAAAATTACAAAAATATTCCATAAAATTAGATAATTAAAGATATCATCACGCAATGAACACATCTGAGAGAGGTACACATGTAGTACGTATATATGTAATATCAAAGCAAACTTGCTGACTTGCTGTTTTCAACAAGAAGTCGAAAATATCACTTTTTACCAAAAATGACAAAAATATTCACTAAAATTAGAGAATTAAAAATATCATTACAAAATGAACAAATCTGAGTGAGGTCCACATGTAGTACCTATATATGTAATATCAAAGCAATTGGACATGTGGTTTTTAACAAGAAATCGAAAATATCACTTTTTACCAAAAATGACAAAAATATTCACCAAAATTGAAGTATAGAGAATTGAAGATATCATTACAAAATGAACAAATCTGAGAGAGGTCTACCCAAGGTACATATACACCAAGTATCAAGTATCAAAGCATTCAGGATTATAGTTTTCAAGAAGAAGTCAAAAAAGTAAAACATTGACACGGAAGACGACTGAGGACAATCATTCATATGATAAGTTCCGCTCAACAAAGTCGACAGCGGAGCTAATGATGTGCATCAAGGTCCTATAATGGCCAACCTATATACCAAGTTTGAACAAAATCCATCTGTAAACAGCTGAGAAATGTATGATTTTGATGATTTTTAGCACAAAAATGGTCACCATTTGGCCATCTTGAATCAGATCGTGAAAAAAATTGATGTGCATATGTATAATATCATGTATGATGTATGTGTGAAGTTTGATTCTGATTGGTCCAGGCATTTCTAAGATACGGGTCCGTCCGCACACACACATGGAAACATGAACGCACAGAGGCCAGTCCCAGTTTTCGGACTGTGTCCGAACGAGGACTAAAAACAAACATGGTAGCCCCCCCAGGGTTTGACCGAACCCCATACACCGAAGTTCGCTCAATCTGTTCTAAACTTTTGGTATTTTGGCATATCCATGATGTATCTTTGGGAGGAAAAGATGTATAATAATAAGGGTAATACGAGGATACCAACAAGTATGCACTCAGACAGTACGCATTCGCATTGACCGATGCTGCTCGTTGGTCGATACTCCTGCTGTACTGTCTTTGTGAATACTTGTTGGTATCCTTGTACTAGTACTCTTTCTTCCTTCAAAACAGTCCCAATTTAATATTTTTTTTGAGATGCCTGCAAAACTGTCATGTTTGTGTGAAAAATGTAGTTATTTTTATAAACATTATTTAACCTTTTCACAACCAGACTTTCTCGCCCAAATTGTTCTGCACTTTTTCTTATATTCATTTCTGAAAATGAACCCTTATTTTGGAGCTAACAGATCAAATTCGAGTCAATTTTCAATTTTTATCCCAAAGTGCAGACTATAAACAGGACTATTTTTTTGAATTTGTGGAGAAAATAGGGAACTGGTGGTGAAGAAAGAAATATGTTGTTTAGAAAGATCCCATTGTTGTTAAATAAAAATTACCTACTAAAACCAAATTTAGTTGTAAACTTTATGGGGCAGGTGTTTTAAAATATTTCCAAGCAACAAATTATGGCAGAGGTTCCTGGAATATCTTAAAATAAAATACAGCAGCATATATGGCATTTCTGGCAGTTGGCATAACTGTTCATACATGTACCTGTTGATTTTGATTGATCATTAAGTTCTGCAGCTAACTTGGCAGCTGCCTCAGCCTCTTGCTTAGCTTGTTGATTCTTCTTTTTGAGTTCTAGCGCATCTAAATACCTGTAATAATTTCACAATTGGAATTGTCAGTTGTCATTAAGTGGACTGGTTCTATGAATTAATCTAACCCAAGCAGCATACAATCAAATTAATATGGGTGGATTGGGGAGGTTCGTATTTCAACAACAATTTCGCAATGCAATTGGCTTATACACAAACAGAAAAGAACACTAAGACATTATGATGATCGGATATTTCATGAAAATCAGAACTTTCACAGAAATTGCTGTGTGAATTAGGTCAAACAAAATGCATCATCAGTAACTTCCATGTAAAGTGCTATTTCGCTATTATCCCCATCCCACAAAGGCAGCCGTTTAAAATAACAAGTATTGAAAATGATTGCTATACTGAGCATAGCCAATGGGTTTTAAATTCCAGGATTTGTCAGTTAATGAGTTCTATTGTAATTTAACATTTTTTCAATGCGTTAATGCACAGACCTACATTTGTATATTATCTTCCCAGACTTTTAAATAGAAATAATGATCATCTCCTTTTACCAATGCTAATAAACCAATCATCAATTTGTCTGATGTAGACCACCAGTTTCATAGGATTATGACTGTAATTATGACTTAGTGACATATTACAGAAGCCACATGTGGAGCAGAGTGTGCTTATTCATTTCAGAACTTCTTGGATTTATACCTCAGAGTCCATGTACATGTTTCAATCATTCGATTTGACCATGTTTTATAATGTATTGTTATGTTCAGTTATGTTACTTAGTATAATACTTTCACAATCTTCACTCCATCAACAAATTTGAAAAGCTAATCATTTAACATCATTTTTTTTTTAAATTTTGACTGACAACAAAATTGTGCTCAATTCTCCAAAATTTCATTCATCTCAGGTTTTTCTTTTTGAATACTTCAACTATTCATTCAGTGGATGAATCAAAAACACCCCAAAATAAATTACTTTTTTCAAGGTTCATTGCTTATTATTCAGTCATACTGTAGCTGGATGGTTTGCTTTGAAATATATGTAAACTTAATTTTGTTTTATCTTGAACAAAATTTTCGGAACATTTGATCGATCAAAGTTTTTCTGCATTTTTTGAGCAGTTCACCTACGCAGTTCTTAACCAATCAGATTACAGTGTTGTATTATTGACCGATTTCAAGATCTTCTAAATATTATTACAAACATGGCATTGATTTAACTGCTTGACATTTTTAGGCAGTTAACACTTTTTAAAAGGTGAACCAAGTAAGTAAAGAGTTTAGGGACGACGTCAAAAGATCGATGTCGGATAAAAAACTTATTTCCTTTAGTTTGGGGGTAGGGGGTTTTGACCTCAAAAAGTTTCCATCCTACAAAAACGATTTTATTTTTTAATGAAGTCAAAAAAATCTTGGAGTATTTGTAGTTTGTTTTTTTCTATCCAATCACGGACAGAAATAACGGAAAAGGAAAAAAAAACATCCAAGACGAGAAAATGATTTGGTTCGAGTGTAAATCTGTGCGTCAAATGCATTTGTAAAAACTTTTTACACCCACCCGACAACCAACTGCTATGCAATACTACTGTCTAATTATCAATTTGTATGTATTTTCTACGGTGCTAACTCAGTCATACATAATATGTTGGTTTTTTTCACATCTCACATGTGATTGTGTTTTGACGGTATGTTGCATTCTGAAAAGAAATGCACCAAAAGATCGCCTTGGCAGGGTTTTGAAGCCAGTACTGCCCTGAAATAATACTCTTCCTTCAAAAGACTGCCCAGGAGGACATTGACAAATAGAGTACATGTTACTTACATATCATAATTTTGTTCTTCTGATTCTCCGTGGATATGCAGTTCTTCTAAGGTTGAGTCTATATCTTTTTGATTGGTTTCTAATTGCCTCATTAATGTCTCTCTCTGAAATACAGATGTTTAACATGTTACTATTAAATTCTACATTATTACATGTTCCACAACAGTGCTTTAAGTGAAGAAATCTTGCCAGATTTGTTGCCTGTGAAAGTAAATTTTTTCATATTCTTTGAACCATGTAAATTGATACTATTAGGAGCACACACGTATGCACTTACATAAATGACACTGAGTTGTGTCTCTGCTCAAAATATGTCTTATTTTAATGATCTAGTGCACAAATAAATGCAATTCGTGTAATTGATTTAAACAATGATTTCGTGATTTGCCTATAGCATTAAGCCCTATTCGTAGTGTTCATTTTCAATTGCAAATTGATGAAAATGCATACTATTAAAATGTTCATTATTCAAAAATGAGATCCAGCACCCCAAGCTTCATTCAGACTTCCAGACAGTACAGGGAGTAATAATGTAGCAAAAAATTCTTGATAAGTATGATGGCAGCATCTATCATTCATAATATGGAATAAGGTCAAAGGTGATGAGGACAAAGGTTGTACAATAAGGTTTACTCACCTGTAATATCAGAAATGGAATATTAAAAAATTTATGAAGATATTTTAAACCAAACCCATTTTTCATGGATGACTCTGCATATTGAATCATAGCAGATCCTATCGGCCTGAAATGAGATGAAAAGTTTGTGTTTAGTGAATTTTAGCTAATGACAAGTAAACTGAGGAGTATGCAAAGATATTAAGTGAACTAAGGAGTATGCTTATATAATGACAAATTGCCCACACAAAAAATAGACTATACCAGAAGTACAATATTGGGGTTTGCATCACGAATAGTACTGTATGGTGACATCATGCCAAGATCCCATTCAAATCTCATCTCGTAGATAGCGAGGCTGATGCTACAACCTTTTGACATGACATAGGCGGTTTGTAATAAACAATAAAACATGTATTACCACATTCATAGTGAAAAAATGTAATACATCGAAATAGTATGTAAATATTGTAATCCGACATATCGTGAGCAGCTATTTTGATCCACCTGGACATCCCAGTATCCTAGTTACCTCGGGCATGTGCATGAGTTGGAATGCTTAAGCGAGAGCGAGATTGAAACGGGATCTTGGTATCATGTCACCGTAGTTGCAAACCCCAAGTAATGTACCTCTGACGATACCTATAATTTCATATTACTCCCACAATAAATTGATTGATATTCACCTTTCATAATTTTCTACATAATTTCGGACATCCTCACTCAATATTACTCTGTGTTCTCCCATGTCTCTGTGATTAGACAGCACTAACACAGGAATATGATTAGGAACTTTCGGAAGCTCTCTTTCAATATAATCATACGTCCTACAAAATGCAATGAGAAATTAACATTAATTCAAAAGTGTCACAGCTGTCAGAACTGCATATGTGCGTATTTTACAGTTTTGTTGGTCTTTACCTTCATTGCGAATGCTATATGCTATAACAGTTCAAAACATAAACACTGCTCAAAGCTGAAGCTCATGATTGTAACATACTTTATTGAAACAAAAAAAAAATTATCAAGTATGACACATAATTTGTTACAAACCAAAATGTCTTATTTTAGAAACACCACAGTAATTTACGCACATGTGCTACTAATAGAGCAAATACGGTAAAACCAACAAAAAAGTATTGCTAACCTTAATTATCTAATTTTGTGAATTTGATAATCTGAAATACTTTTCATGGTTATATTATGATCAAAAAAATTCTCTGTAAAACATGTGCAGACAAGTACCAGAGCAGTAATTTGTGGCAGAAATCATTTAGAAAATGGATACCTAACTTGAGTGTAAACAAAGTCACTGCATCAGTACATGTATAAGCACAATTACAGCTTTATCAGGTTTTATATGGATTGGATGAAAAATACATTCTGGCCACAATGTTAAAAGGCAGTGGTCATTGTGTGTGTTCAAATTTCATGTAATCAAACCATGCGTTGTGTACATTTGTACATCGCTATGAGTTCAATATCAAACAACACAGTGCGACGACGATCGACTTTAACAGTGATGAAAATGACAACACAACAGACATTTACTTCGACATCTTGTGACCTTCATGACCATTTCAAGCAGGGTAAAATGGCTGTACATACCACTGTTTGGTCATATCCATCATCATTACCACTCCATGTGTTCCTTTATAGACATCCAAGAATGCAGCATCTAGACATGGTTCAGATGACTGACTTTCATCTGGTGAATTTTCTATTTTCAGTCCATCCTGTTTTTTTCTACTTTTGCCTTTATCAACAACATCCCAAACTTCCACTTTTACCACATCGTCTGTATCTAGGAATGAATTAATATACATTATACAGTGTAGTTAGCAGGTGTAAATGTCTGTAGAAGAAAATTATTTATCCAGTCATTTCCAAAAATAGGTGTTGCTGAGCGTACAATGGATGACCAGCAGTTTCAGATAACAATACATGGTATGCAGTGGTTTCAGAGAATAAGAGATGTCCAGTGGTTTAAAAGAAGAATACAAATGTTGGTGTGTAGTAATTTCAGATGATAGACTTTGTGCAATTTCTTTTAGAGAAGAATGTAGGCCAGAGAATACATGTAAGTGTGCAGCACATAGTTTCAGGGACAATAGACAAGGTGTCCATTGATTTCAAAATACAATGAATGATAAGTGATTTCAGCAAATAATAGATGTCAGTGTTCTCCCCAGACCCTAAGCCAAGCATCGCGGCTAATTTACATAACAATACATCTTATTTGCATAATTTTGTTTGCATAATAATTAGTTTCCCCAACAAACATTATAACTGAAATAAAGAAGAGATACATATCTCATAAATTTTTCATCATTTACATTCATTGTGTTTTATGTGTGCATCAAGTCAAATACAGTTTGAAATAGAACAGGAAAGAAATGGAAATACTTATAGCCAGTCAGTAAATATATTGTTTATCCGTGGAGGTAACTGGTTCATCATTATTTTGTGTACAAGTACAGTCAGTTTTAGTGCCAATGTTACTGTCAGTTC